GAATTTGAAGTTCTGTTCCACATTTTCTCCCATTCTATCAGGGTCTGTCTATTGTGGCCTGATGAGAATGGCCAGTAGTGGTAGTTTGGGCACCATCCACTTCTGATCTCAGGGTAAATGAGGTCATGGTCCATGTGTTCTTGAATGTATTCTTGATTTCTTGTATGCTTATATTCTTGGTATAAGATGTAAAATAGCTAGAGCTTATTGATCATGTTGTTCAGATCTTTGAGAGCGGTGTGTCCAAGAGTGTGATGTTTCTTTTTTATGGTCCACAAGTTTGGATGATAATAAGTATCAATAAGCATGTGAAGTTTGCTTTCTTCTTTGTGAGCAAGTGGGCCTTGTGATTAGGTTTGTGGAGGTGGGCCATGCCTGGAAACTCCCCTGTGCTGTGCCCTGCAGCCAACAGATAAGGAAATAGTGGATCAGAGAGTTGACATGGCTTACTCAGGGTCACATAGCTAATAAAATAGAGAAATAGATAGCTCCTTTTGAGTCAACTTTGAGGAGACCAAATAGTAGCTAATAAATAGCAGGGCCATATAGCTAATAAATACCAGATCATTTTTTGCTCTAACTCCAGTACTCTTTTGCTCTTTTGTATTTAGTGTACCTGTTGATAATAGGTGAGAGAGAGAGGTCATCCCTGTCTTCCACCATCATCCTTAAGTTTGTCATCTGCATACTCTATAGTGCAGTGTCATTGGATCCGCATCACAAACCCATTAGAAGAGGTGCCATCATCCTATTTTACAAGTTATCTAAGCTACAAAACGGTCAAATAATTTATGGCTGATCTTACAGCTGGTGGGTAGAGAAACTGATTCAAATTTAGACTTTCAATTCTGAGTCTAACATTAACTATGTAAGTTTTGAGGATTGTGATGTATCAGAATACTGGTAGGAAACAATTTATTGCATGTTTCAAATAAAGACTAAATAAAGCAGCTACTTAGAGAGGTGTGGGCAGGTCTAAGGCAACAAAGGGATAGTGGGGTAAAGGAAGGACTTGGTGAGAGCTGGTGTCTTGAGGGCTGGACTATGTGATGGCTGGGGAGAGATGCAGCTCTGCCAGTGAGACTCAGCAGGGAGGAAAAAGGAAAGAAAGACCTGAATTTCTGAGATTCTCCTTCCTTCTATCTCCTAAAAATAGCCTCCCACCAAGAGAACCCAGCCAGAGGGCATCCTTCAAGGCTAGCCTCCTGGAGCACAGGATGGAGGAGTCACCTGGGGAGGGAAGCTTGTGAATAACCAGCGGGGAGGAGCAATGCAGGCAGAATTCATGGTATAGTTACGTGTGGGAACAAATTAGATTAAAGCATCAATAGTAAGCAATTTAATAGAACTGAAAAACAGAGTAAGTTGTGAGAAAATGTAAATAAGGATCACGTAAAAGATGTGGGTTCCTGTGAGTTACAGTCAATTTGAAGAAAACTGGGTGACCCTAACTCTCCCTGAAACCACTACTATTAATAAAGAATTTAACATTTATTTAGAATCCATTTTACAGCCTTCAAAATAGTTTTACTGTTTTCCATTCAATTCTCTGATTTTCCCTTTAAAGTATAGATTCTTAAATCCCTTAAAATACTTTCAGTAATATTGAGAGATTGAAATTTTATTAAAACTACTTGGAGTACATAGTATACATATTGCTAGAGGGGCATCCATTTTGTTTATCAATTTATTTGCTGTAAAATCTGCAACTTAAACAGTATTCATTTCATACTGGGTGTTTGCCATCTTAGATATTTGAAGAATCTTCTGCTTTGCAACAGTATCCTTTTATCATTTCTAACTATTACCGTAAATATAACATAAATTATGTATGTAATATATAATGAAATATGATATTTGCCAAATGCCCTTTCTAAATATATGTTACTAATTGGGTAAAACAGAAGAGAGAAGCCTGAGTGCTATTTTTGTTGGCAGCATCGATTTCTCTTTTCTCCCATCTTGGTTAATTTTTTTTTTGCCTTGAACTTCATTAATTCAGTATATATTGATGATATCATTTGAATAGTGCTACAGTAGGCCCTGGGAGCTCTAGTAGTGTAGTGCCTAAGGCACTTGACTGCTAACCAGAAGGCTGGCAGTTCAAACCCACCAGCCACTCCTTGGAAGGAAGGTTGGGCAGTCTACTTCTGTAGTGATACTGCTTCGAAACCCAAGTATGAGTATCAACAACAACAACAACAGTGGGTCCTGAACTATTTTTGCAAAATGTGTTGCAAAGAATTATGAATCATGATGACACTCTCAGTTACCTAATACAGAATGTTGTTTCAAAAGATTTCTAATACGTAGAATATGCTTAGAGATTATTAGACTTTATGTAAGTTTTCTAATTTGATGGTGTTCTAAAATTGTTTAAGAGCATAACAGTTTTTCTGGCAAGTCAGAAATAGAATAACCAATGCACAAGGATGTTTCATATAAAACAGCAGAACAAGAAAATTTTTGGCAGGAATAGAAATCTGTTTTCAGTTGAGATTTAAGAATAGATGGAGTGTTAATAGGCAGAGAAACACAAGGAAGCCCTCCCAGATGATAGAACCTAAGCAAAGAGGATCGTTTTGTTTGGCCTAAGCCGTGGCCAGGTCTAGGAGAGGCATGCTGGGGTCAGGGCTGGATTTAGTAGAGAAAGCTAAGAGTAACAGGAAAGGGAGAGAGGCTTCTGAGGCAGATTAGAGTGGATCCATGGATTCAGAACCAAAGCAAAACCACTATTAATTAGATCCTTAAATGAATGGTTTTTGAGAATGTTCTCTGCCAAAATATTGACTACTCTTGTTGGTGCTAAGTGGTATAACCTTCTTTCTGCTTTTATCCTCTGAATTCTCTCTGCTATGGCTTACCTGGGTTTTTTACACAGGTGTCTAGCAACTGCTGCCAGGTTTGAAGGTTACTCTTCGAAATATAATAAAACATTCAGGATGGTTATTTAGATTGATAATAATATCAGGTAAAGAGAAGCTCCCTGCATTTTGTTTCTCCCTTAGAGCCCTCCGTCCTGATCTGGTCTGGACTTGATTGCCTTCTTGACCTGCTGCTCTGTGGTGGTCCTGAAGCAACCCTCCATCCCACCAGTGCCTCCCTTCCCCGGGATCTTCTTTGTTTTCTGAGTCTATGCTTTCCTCTTTCTGGGTGGGTAGTTTTTGAGCCCCTGTATGGAATCTCTGGTGGTGAAGCTGGTTAATGTGCTCATCTTCTAAGCAAAAGATTGGAAGTCTGAGTCCATCCAGAGGACCTCAGAAGAGAAGCCACTGAAGAGCCTCTGGAGCACAATTCTCCTCTGACACACGGGTCTCATGAGCTTGAACTGACTTGACAGCAACTGGTTTGTTTGTGTATGAAATGCCGGTTCTTCATTGCCTGAATTAGACTGAAACATTTTTCTCTCCAGTTTCCTCAAGTATTTATCCACTGTTTGTCACCTGTTTCTCTCCTCCCATTACCTCCGTCCTCAGGAGTTTGTAGGATCTTCTTTCTATTCCCGGTGTTCTGAAATTTTCACAGTGTTATGACTCGGTATGGGCAATTATGCCCATTTTGCTGGGCACTAGGTTGGCCCTCCCAATCTAGAAATCAAGTCCTTTGGTTCTGAGAAAATCCTTGCATTATTTCTTAGATAGTGTCCTCATCACTTTATTTCTTTGTTCTTTCTTTCTGGAATCTCTTTTTGTCAGGTGTTAGCTCTGAATTAATCCTCAGATTTTCTTGTATTTTCCATCTTTTATCGCTGCTGTTTATTTGTTGTACTTTTTGAAACATTCCTTAAATTTATCTTCTAATCCTTCTCCTGGGAGCTCTGGTAGCATAGTGGCTAAGGCACTTGACTGCTAACCAGAAGGCTAGAGGTTCAAACCCACCAGTCACTCCTTGGAAGGAAGATGGGACAATCTACTTCCGTAGTGATACTGCCTCGGAAACCCAGGAAACCCAAGGAGGGGTCACTATGAGTCAGGTCTGACTCGATGGCACATAACAACAACAAAATCCTTCTCCTGAAGTTTTATTTCTGCTAAACTTTATTGTAAATTTCAAAGTGCTCTCTTTTGTTCTTAATGTTCCTTTTTTAAAAATAGCATTTTGTTTGTGCTTTATGGTTGTAATAGCTTCTCTTATTTTTCTCAGCATATTAATTATATTGATTACAGTTTTATTTTTGAAGTTTTCTTTTGCTGTCTGCGTAGTCTGTTTCCTCCAATTTTTTCTCCTCTGTGTATTTTTCTGGTCTCCAACTTTCATCTTCAAAGTTTTTTTTTTCCAAATTTCTATTGATTCTTGGCTATCAGTTCATTTTTATGTCATTTCAAGGTACTAAAAGCTGATTGAAAGTTCCATCCTAAGAGGTTCATTGGCTGGTGGGCTTGGTAGATGATCGGGTAGACTTGACTCTTTCTTCAAGAGAGGCTCATACTTTATAGTGCCTTCAGAACTTTTCTGTGGAGATCATTTCGTTTCTCCAGAAAGACTCTTCTAAACTCTCGCTTGTTGGGAATAAGGTAAATTGCTGTTTTAGGGGTTCCCAGTTGGGAAGAGGGGGAAGATTATATGGTTAGTAAGTCATACAGGAAGTCATTGGGTGGTGTAAACGTTAGTGTACTTGGCTGGTAACTGAAAGGTTGGAGGTTAGAATCTGCCAAGGTACTTTGCAATAAAGGCCCGGTAATCTACTTCAGAAAACCTATGGAGTATGGTTCTTTTCCGGAACACTTGGGGTCACATGAGTCAGAGTGGACTTGTCAGTAACTGGTTAAGTGGTGCAAGGATGAAAATTCAAGTACTGTGACTTCAGTGGGTTACTGTGTTTATTGTCACCTTTATTAAAGTTGTTCTTCATGGTCTTTTACATGAAAGGAAAAAATATTATTACTTATTAAATATAATAGCCCATCTTAGTCCTGTATTTAGCACAACTACGTACACTGTATATGATTATTTTTAATGATTTCCATATTAGTGATTTATGATTTGTTCTTAATTTTCAGCTTTTTTCAAGGAGGAAGCCTCCAAGAGGATTGTATGTTTATGGAGATGTTGGTAAGTGTGTTAACGAATTTTGAGTGGCTCAAACAGAACATTTCCCAGCCTTCTATCAGTAAGATAACATCCATTCCCATCCTTCAGATCTATACTACCTTGGGAATGGGATGAGGCAGGGTAATGTTGGGGTGGGGGTGGGGTAAAGATAGCAGAGCTATCACAGGCTTCACTTTTACTTCTCCTAGGATGTAACAGCAGTTACAGGCAGGATTAATTTGTATGTTAGGGTGCAAACATTATTGATTTATAAAGCAGGCTGAGCTCAGAGAGAGAAATCATCCCTCGATAGATTATTGGATAGATCAGAATCTCATTACTCAGTGCTGTTTGAGACAGCTTAATGCATTTAAAAAAATAAGCTGCTCTTTTTTTACTTTTAATTTTTATGAATATTTTTATTCATAATATAATCACTTATCTTTAGTTTATTATTTATTAGTTATATTTACTTTATTACTTATTATCTTTTAGTATTTAGTTGTTGTAGTTGTTATGTGCTGTTGAGTCGGCCCCGACTCATAGTGACCCCTCCCTGGATTTCTGAGGCAGTATCACTACAGAAGCAGATTGCCCAACCTTCCTTCTGAGGAGTGGCTGGTGGATTTGAACTGTCAGTCTTCTGGTCAGCAGTCACATGTCTTAGGCACTACGCTACCAGAGCACTTAACTCATAATGGATGACATTTCTTTAGTCTCCCAGTTACGTAGATTGGATACAAATAACTGTGTTTTGCTGGAAACCTTCTGAACTCTCACTTATTTTCTAGATTTTGTTAACCAGTTAATGTCCTGCTTCTTCTCTGACCTCATTCCTGCTGAAATGACCTGCTTTCTGGGTTCCATTTCTTTCAAACACATTCCTTTTCTGCTAGTCCTAGGCTTCTCCCTGATGATGCATGTTCACTGACGTGAAGGTGGCTTCTACTTTATGTGCTTTACTGTCCTCTTACTTGTCAATCATTTCTTTTATTGGCATACTCAAACTCACAATTATATGTAAAAGATCAGTTTTTCCTTGACTAATAAGCAAGCTTCAGGAACTCTTATAGCCTAATCAAGCTGTGTTATGAGAGGATGGTGGCAGGGTTTATTTTATTAGTAAACATTTCAGGACAATAGAAAAAGAAAATAGGGAATTGAGTAAGTAGTTATAGTACCTTAAAAATAAAACTGTTCTTTTTCTGTCTTACTTTTATTGATTTAACTAATCTAATTAAAAAAATAATCATTTAGTTCACAAAAGTGAGTTATAGAGATTGCCCCTTGAAATTCTTGAAGTTCTTGAAATGACTATTTGATTCCTTGGCCTATTTTTCAGTCGGGTTGTTTGTGTTTGTGTTGTTAAGTTGTAATGTGTTCTTTATATATTCTGGATATTGAACCCTTATCAGATACAGGATTTTAAAAATACCAAACCAAAGCATCTGCTACAATTCTGACTGCTGTTGTTGTTGTTGTTATGTGCCATCGAGTCAGACCCAACTCATAGCAACCCCTCCTTGGGTTTCAGAGGCAGTATCACTGTAGAAGTGGATTGCCCAACCTTCCTTCCGAGGAGTGGCTGGTGGGTTTGAACTGCCAGCCATCTGGTTAGCAGTCAAGTGCCTTAGGCACTATGCTACCAGAGCTCCTAATAGTGACCCTGTAAAGGCAGAAGAGAAATGCCCTAAAAGATTTTTAAGGCTGTAATCTTTATGGAAGCAGAATGCCACATCTTTATCCTGCAGAGCCACTTATGGGTTTGAACTGCCAACCTTTCAGTTAGCAGTCAAACGCTTTAACCACTGCACCACCAGAGCTCCTTTGGTTTTAACAATAGATGGTAAAAATGTGGAAGAAGCTCAAGTATTTCTTCTTCTCAATTTACCAGTTGGTAAATTGGTATTGTTAGTACCAATGTATACTTCTTATTGAGAATGCAATTTGTACCAGGTGCTTAACTTAGTCAGTTTTACATGTCTGCACCTTTGAGCTCTTCTCACAGATCTTAATTTGTTGTTGGGTCTTATTCTTTGCCTCTTGAGAACATTTACTTCCTGTATTATCACTTTCATGTTCAGTCATTGCTACATTCAACATCTTTGTTTCTCCTGTTACCTTAACCACTTAACCATAAATGGACATGGTTAGCAAAGTATGGCTGCTTCTACTTCTGCAAAAGAATTTAAAAACACAATAAAACAAAGCCATATGAAAGTTACTGGATTTTAGTTTGGAAAATACTGACATACTCTAACTAATTGAAGGGAGGTGCAATAAAAGTAATTCATATGAATGTTTAGAAATATCTTCATAATATAGAGAGGGGGAGAGAAAAGAATTCTGAAATAGGAAGTGAGATGAACATTTTGGTGAATAAAATTAGTTCATAATCAAGGCCAGGAGCTGATTGTGGAACAGACTATCTACTGCTCATATGCAAGTTCAACTTGAAGTTGAAGACAATTAAAACAAGTCCATGAGAGCCAAAATATGACCTTGAATATATCCCTCCTGAATTTAGAGACCTTCTAAAGAATAGATTTGATGCATTGACCACCAGTGACTGGAAACCAGAAGAATTATGGGATGACATCAAGAACATCATCCATGAAGAAAGCAAGAGGTCATTAAAAAGGCAACAAAGGAAGGAAAGACCAAAATAGATGTCAGAAGAGACTCTGAAACTTGCCATTGGGTGGAGAGTAGCTAAAGCAGCTGGAAGAAATGACAAGATGAAAGAGCTGAACAGATTTCAAAGAGCAGCTCAAGCACAAAGCCAATTACTATAATGAAATGTGCAAAGACCTGGAGTTAGAAAACCAAAAGGGAAGAACACACTTGGCATTTCTCAAGCTGAAAGAACTGAAGAAAAATTGTAAATCTCGAGTTGCAATGTTGAAAGATTTATGGGCAAAATATTGAATGATGCAGGAAGCATCTAAAGAAGAAGGAAGGAATACACAGAGTCACTGTATCAAAAAGACCTGGTTGATGTTCATCCATTTCAGGAGCTGGCATATGATCAAAATCATTAGTATTGAAGGAAGAAGTCGAAGCTGCATTGAAGCAATTGGTGAAAAGCAAGGCTCTAGGAATTGATGGAATACCCATTGAGATGTTTCAACGAACAGATAGTCACTCGGCTATGCCAAGTTATTTGGAAGACAGCTACCTGGCCAACTGATTGGAAGAGATTCATATTTGTTCCCATTTCAAAGAAAGGTGATCCCACAGAATGTGGAAATTATCAAACAATATCATTAATATCACATGCAAGTAAAGTCTTACTAAAGATAATTCAAAAACAGCTGCAGCAGTATATTGACAGAGAACTTCCAGAAATGCAAGCTGGATTCAGAAGAGGATGTGGAATGAGTGATATCATTGCTGATGTCAGATGCATCTTAGCTGAAAGCAAAGAATACCAGAAAGATGTTTACTTGTGTTTTATTGACTATGCAAAAATATTTGATTGTGTGGATCGTAACGAATTATGGGTAACATTGAGAAGAATGGGAATTCTAGAACACTTAATTGTACTCATGAGGAGCCTGTACATAGATCAGAAGGTTGTTGTTCGAACAGAACAAAGGGACACTGCATGGTTTAAAATCAAAAAGGGAGTGTGTCAGGGTTGTATCCTTTCACCATACTTATTCAGTCTATATGCTGAGCAAATAATCCGAGAAGCTGGACTGTATGAAGAAGAATGGACATCAGGATTGGAGGAAGAATCACTAACAACCTGCGATATGCTGACGACACAACTTTGCTTGCTTAAAGTGAGGATGACTTGAAGCACTTACTGATGAAGATTGAAGAATACAGTCTCTTTATATTGAGATGGATTTCATCTCAATATAAAGAAAATAAAAATCCTCACAACTGGACCTATAAATAGCATTACGATAAATGGAGAAAAGACAAGTTGTCGAAGACTTCACATTGCTTGGTTCTACAATCGATGCCGATGGCAGCAGCAGTTGGGACGTCAGATGACGTATAGCACTGGGCAAATCTGCTGCAAAGGACTTCTTTCAAGTGATGAAGAGCAAAGATGTCTCCTTGAGGACTAAAGAGTGCCTGACTCAAGCCGTGGTATTTTCAATTGCCTCATATGCATGTGAGAGCTGGACAATGAATAAGGAAGACTGAAGAAAAGTTGATGCTGGCAAAGAATGCTGAAAGTGCCATGAACTGCTAAAAGATCTAAAAATCTGTCCTGGAGGATGTGCAGCTAGAATGCTCCTTGAAAGTGAGAATGGCCAGACTTTATCTGACCTACTTTGGTCATGTTGTCAGAAGGAACCATTCCTTGGAGAAGGATGTCATGCTTGGTAAGGTGGAGGGTGGACAAAAGAGGGGAAGGCCTTCAACCAGATAGATAGATACAGGGGCTGTGGTGATGAGCTCAAGTATAGCAAGGATTGTAGAGCTGGCATGGGACTGGGCAATGTTTTGTTGTGCTGTGCATAGGGTCACTATGAGTTGGAGATGATTCAACAGCACCTAACAAACAGCAACAATCAGTTTAGTTTAGAATATTTACAACTTAGGTAATAAAAGACAGGTCAAATTCTTATTTATTTATTTACTTTGGCTCCCTGGATAGGAGCATAGTGAGAATGTCTTCTCAAGCCTTATTTGTTCAGACCTAGGGAACAGGTATTAAATTTTTAAAAATTATTTTATTTTGGTAAAAATATATGTAACAGAACATCTGTCAATTCAATACTTTTTACATGTACAATTCAGTGACATTTGTTATGTTTATCATGTTGTTCAACCATTACCACTGTTCATTTCCAAATTATTCCACCACAATTAACAGAAGCTCAGTGTCTCCAAGCAATGACTCCTCCTTTGTCCCTCTCTTGCATACCCCTAACTAGTAAACTTTAGTCTCTTAACCTTTCCCTGTTCTAGATATATTATATAAGTGGGACCATTAAAATATTTGTCCTTGTATGACTTGTTTCACTCATCATGATGTTTTCAAGGTTCATATATATTGT